CTCGTAGCTATTGGATGTGGTATCAAGAAGCTTCAGATTATGCTTGCCATTGTGATCGACTTGGTATCGGTCAATACACTTATCGAAGAGCGTCTCAAGGAAGCACCAATAAATGAGTATGTCCAAAGTTATGATATTGTGGCCTTCAATAAAATATGTAAGTTACTCAAGAATTTGTTTTGTCATTTTGATCTTAAACCAAGTACTATGCCCTAGTTAATTAGACTAGTGACTAATAATTATTATTACTTGCTAAGTATCTGAATGGTAACAACTGTTTTGCAGAATTCACTGATACATTCACCAATTGGGAATGTGCAATCGAACGTTTGGAGTGTAGGTTCTGTTTTGCATTTATGGTCGAAGTTTTTCCATTGCCATTTTAAATTGTGTTCCGTTTATGGCTATATGAATTTTCCAGACTCGTACAATTCGAATGTGGACTTGGCAATATGTCCAATATCATTGTCGTGTGACATTAAATTATTGTTTCATTATCTTTTGTTGGAATTTTCATTTAGTACTTGAATGTCCATTATTTAGTTTTAAGCTACATTGTTTACGAAAGTATAATTCTTATTGATTTGCCTCCCCATCATACGGGACTAGTATGTTAATTTGTTGAGAGTTGCTTCATCGGACTTTGCTACACGTACATTGCCGTGTACATAAGGGTGTCCATAATGGACACTCGGCGCCTCATCACATTGGCGTGTACAACAAGAATAATCTTACTTTATCAGCTCGTATTAAATTTCTGTAAGATTGGACGGGCCAGTTGAGAGGAGTTGTAACATTGATATCTTTAAATAGGCAAAATATGATGTCAACGGAAAAAAGAGGATCGATCTACTGAATGTGTTATATGGATCTTAATTTGGTTTCTTGAGAAAAGGTTGAATAAAATTACTAAAGCTAATGCTTCTGCTTTCTTGCGGCTCCTGGGTTTTGATTCTAAGATAATTTATCCCCTTAAACAAATTGGCTAATGGTTCCTTACGAGCTTGGTGTTTCTGTAATATTAAGGTAATATGGGTTTAGATATTAAGGTATATGAATTGAGATGGTTAGGAGTTGGATTTGGTTTAGTCTGAAGAAATTACGCACCTTTGTAGAAGCAATTGAGATGGTTATCAATAGGCTTTGTTATTTATGAATGATTCGCGAGAATTCGTTGACGCAATCACAAGAAGCTCGAACAACTTTCCAATGCAACGACATGTATTTTATACTTTGTTTAGTGTCTGCTTGTTTTGTCATAACACGTAAACTTCTAATCGTATCTATTGAACTATTTTATCAAATTTAATTTAGGTTGTGTTTTTTATATTTGAAAAAAATATTTCAAGATTCACCAGCTTCAAAATTTATATATTATTTAATACTATATTAACATTAAAATATCAAAATTTATTGAATAATCAGATTTCTTGAATACAATATTATAAAAAAATATAATCAAAATTTCGAAGTAAACGCATTTTATGTTTTGAGGAATAGTTTTTCAAAATGATGAAAAGAACGTATTTTTAACAATTTTAAAACAGGCACTCAAAATCCAAAATAAAATCAAAACTCAAAATAGAAAATATTGAAACACAAAAAGAATAGCCTTAACTGCTCAAATTGTTCTTTTGTATTTTCTTTGATTCTAGCTTTCTTTTTCTTTATTTTATTTTATTTTAACTTTTTCTATTTTGTATAAC